TCTCTCTCTCTCCCTCTCAATTTCTCTTTCTCTATCTCTATGTTTATCTATCTCTCTGTCTCTGTCTCTCTCTCTCTCTCTCTCTCTCTCTCTCTTTCTCTCTCTCTCTCTCTCTCTTCTCTTTATTCCCCCTACCCTCCCTCTTTTCTTTCTCTCACCCACCCCCATCTCTCTCCTTCTCCCTGCTCCTCCATCCCCACCTCTCTCTCTCTCTTCCTCTCTTTCTCTCCCTCTCTCTCTCCATCTATCTCTTTCTCTCTTTCTCTCTCTCTTTCTCTCTCTCTATCTCTATCTCCATCTCTCTCCCCTCTGTCGCTATCTCACTCTCTCACGTGAGCACGACAAATTTATCAGCTTCACTGGAAAGTGTGTCCCGTCAGCCATGATCCACTCGTGGAAACTGATAAGTCATTCTCCAGAAATGTAGAACCCTCTTATCTTTTGGTTTTGTTGGCTTTGGTTATTCTCTTTTTTCCTCCCTCATATTGTACCTCAAGGCAGAAGCGATGATAAAAGGAATATAACGCCGGGTTATTGATCAGCTTTGAATACGAGGATATTTCTTTCAACACCAATATAAATTACACATAAGGCAATCACGATACCAAACAGAGGTAACGGGGCTCTGGTTGCCTTAGGGTTAAGGTGTTCGCCTCTCATTTAATAGGTCCCGGGTTCGAATCCGGATAGCGACGGAAATGTTTCTTCTTTAACTAAATTGTCTACTTTCACCACCTTTCCTGTTCTATAGCAATGTTCTGACGTCTGCTTTCGTCTCCACTTTCTGCCCTAACCTCCTCACCCCCTTACTTCCTTTGCCCCCTCCTCTTGGCTTCTGACTCTTTCTGCAGCCTTTCTACTGCTACTCCTTGGCTCCTTCTTACTACTGTCTTTCAGCCACACCCCTGATCTTCAGCCACACCCTTGATCTTCTGTTAGAAAAGATCTACACTTAACCTTCTCGGACAAGACCGAAAAATCTCCGATGTCCCATGTGCAAGTTGCGCACGTTAAAGATCCCTAGGTGGTCCAAAATCGATAAGAGTTGTCTTCGGTTTCCACCCGGGCAAAATTCAAAATTTCCTAGCAATTGAAAATGTTTAATGTATTCCGCTCGCTCATATCACCTTCTGCGGTTGCGAGCGCCGTAAAATACTTACCAAAGTACAACAACCAAATTTAAAAAAAAACAACAACAAAAAAGCAAAACAAAAACAAAAAAGAACTGTATAAAACGCGTTCTGTCTGTACGTGGGGAGCGTTTTGATCTCTTGTACCCAAAAGAGGTTCGGACAAGAATAGGGTTACCCTCACAGTTTGTGTCGATTTTACAGCGGCTCCCTTCCATACTTTTCTGCTACTCCATCCCTCCGTGCAACACTAAAACCCTTCCCCCTTCCGCACCACTATTCGCATCAACCAACCCCCCACCCCCACCCTTCACTCCACCCCCTTCTTTCATACTCTCTCTCTCTCTCTCTCTCTCTCTCTCTCTCTCTCTCTCTCTCTCTCTCTCTCTCTCTCTCTCTCTCTTTCCATATCACACACCCTCACATTCACACACATACTCATACAAACACACACACACACACACACACACACACACACACACACACAGACACACGCACGCACAAACAAACAAACAAACACACACGCACATTCGTTCACACGTGCACTTGTCACATATACAAGCCTGAACCCTGACATTAAATGTTTGCCTGTTCGTCATTTCAAAAGTTCGCTGGCAATAATAATTGTGTCACTGGGATTGGCAGTTGTGTTATCTGCTCCAGGTGAACAACCTGATCAGCGACATTTTTTATTTTAAAAATATTTTCTTTTCTTAAAAAAAAAAAACACATGGAGTTGTGTTAAGGTTCTTACAGCTTCTGATTTTTTTGGTTCATTTCACTATCTTTGTGTGGTTATAGCAAGAAGCGGGATCTCACTGCGACCACAATTAATAATATCAAAGCAAACGCATGAAAAGTGGCAGCCACTGAGCTGCAGTTACTAACTAACGTAGCCAAAAATGCGAAAGTGTAAAGCAAGAATCATGGAGGGGTCTAGATTTAATTCGTTCTTCTTTTCGAGATACTTTATTGCTTTGTTTATTAACCCGCCCCCCCCCCCTTTCCCAAAAAACAAAATCCCTCCCCTCATTTTTTTTTTACTATTATTTATTACTATACAAACTGCACTTTAACAAAGAGTACAAATCGTTATAAAATAAGATATTGATAACAGCTTGGGAATCGCAATCTTTGAACTTGTTTTTGAAAAGTACAATGTATATCTTCAAAGAAATTAGTGTTGTCAAGTACAGTTAATTTCGAAACAAGAGAGACTACTTTACTATGCTACCAAAGTTACCAAAGCTATCGCCTCTCTCCCAAAAAGAAAATACCAGAAATAAGAGGTCCGCAAAATAAAATCACAGATAAATGTGCGTGTGCCTTGAGAAAGGTTCCAGCTGCGGAAAAATTTTGGATATTTAAATAAATGCGCATCCTTGTGGCACATTCAGAACTGAACACGGTGATTTTTTAACATTTCAAATACCTTCTGTTGGTTTCAAGATTTTCTTTTTAATGCTACATTTTGTAACACAGGGTGTCAAAACAAAGTTTGAAGAAAACCCCAATTTCTAGTACATTTATAACCTTTGGTGAAGTACAACATGTTGCAAGAACGATTAATAAAAATTGAAATATTTAGACTTAAAACATTATAAAATCCTTTTCATATGTTATTTAAGAAATGGTTAAACGTGTGCTTTATGGTGAAACTAAATTGTTGACCAGATACAACTTTTTTGCCTTTTCACCCCGTTGCTCAAAAATAACTCTGCCGACAACTGGGACCTTTCTCCAGGCACACACACAAATGTCCAAGCTACATTTTTCGATGATAAAATGCCTAAAATACATTTTCCAAAGATAAAATGCCTAAAATACATTTTCCAAAGATGAAATGCCTAAAATACATTTTCCAAAGATGAAATGCCTAAAATATATTTTCCAAAGATAAAATGCCTAAAATACATTTTCAAAAGATAAGATGCCCAAGTTACTTTTTCCAAAGAAAAAATGCCCGAGATTCAGTTTCAAACTGTCCTTAAAAATGCACCCACATAGTAATGACAGCAGCCCAAGTGTTTGAAGATTATTTTTTTTACTTCCTTCACTGTTGTAACTGCTGTTATTGTGTGTTTTTCTATGGAGTTGCTTGTGAGAGTTCGAGCACACCCCCCTCCCCTCCATTCCCATAAAAGCACGTCCTGCAGAAAATTAACCTCAATAATACACTTTCACATGGACATACTCACACACACACACACGTACACACACACAAACACACACACACACACACACACACACACAGAGGAAAATTTACACAGACTCACACGGGATATAATAATGATAAATAATCTATAACATGATAACATAATATACATATTAGACATATTTGTAAACACAAGCACACAATTAATGTTGCTCGCCCCCCCCCCTCCCACCTCAAAAGATGATAAAACTACAACCACAGGGTAGTGTCAAACTTCGCCATCTGTAACCAGATCAGGGCATGCCCACGTTGGCCATTTCGACCTGCGAAGTTGACCACATGTCACACGACCACTCAAAACGAGGGTCACCTCCGGAGGGATAGGGACAGTAATGTGACGAGCAATTCCATTGTTTTAGCAGAAGCTCGTCCATTATTCAAATGCAATCTTCGCCCCTTTCCCTTCTTTCGCCACTGCTCCTTAATCAGTTTTGTACTGCTCCTGCCTTTCTCCTTGTTGCCCTTGAGACGATTTTACTGTGTATTCCAGATTCGTTCACTCAAAGATCAGTTGATTAAAAACCTCTGGATCTTTCGTGACGGTGACTTAGACATCGCTCTGTTGTCATAATAATTATCTGGTCCCTGTTCAATTGATTGTGGTGTCACAGTGGATAGCCGTAACTATTTCGCTGCATCATTGGTGGGTGGTTGGAGGGAGGGGGGGTCTGGTGTTGTTTGCTCCTTTTTCCTATCAAACATCTATCGTCCTTATCTCCCATCCTTTCTTATTTTACTTACTCTATTGTAATTTATAATATATCACGTTTAATCGTTGGCATAAATATGGCTTTAGTATGTAGTGAGTGTCGTAAAACTCTTATGAAAGATAATTAACATGCTCAGTTTAACTACTTGATGGCGCCACTCCTTCTATGATTGCCTATCACCCCCCTTCCCGGCGACTCATTAGCAAACAGCTATATATACAAGCTATACACAGCTGCATTTTGCTCATATGTTGCTCTCTTCTTGGTGCCCGCCCGTTCGCACGAATGTGTGTGTGTGTATGTGTGTGTGTGTGTGTTTGTGTGCACATATGTGTGTGTATGTGTGTGTGTGTGTTTGTGTGCACATATGTGTGTGTGTGTATGTGTGTGTGTGTGTTTGTGTGCACATATGTGTGTGTGTGTATGTGTGTGTGTGTGTTTGTGTGCACATATGTGTGTGTGTGTGTCTGTGTGTGAGACATAAGAAAAAAACAACAACCCAACTTTGTAAAAAATGATATCATCAGGAAATACACATGAAGTATTGTCCATTGATTGCAGAATTGACAAAGAAATGATTAGGTTCTGTTTGAGAAGACACTTTTTCGTTAATATGGTTATAGCAGTGAGAGAGAGAGAGGG